TAATTAGCGCTAACTATCTGCGCGATAAAAAATTAAAAAAATCTGTTTAAATACTTTTATATAAAATATTCTACTAGATGGTAGCGAGAGATTAATATTAATCGATAAAAAATACATTTCATATTTAATATTGGAAACACGTATGTATATATCGGATACATATGCACGTCGGCATTACGTTGCAGAACTTGGATGCGCTTCATGATCATTTGGGTACGTTATATCCGGGCATGAGAGCACCCTCTTTTAGGTGCACAGAGAGACCCGAGGATGGCGCGCTTATTTTGCATTATTATTCGGATCGACCTGGTTTGGAACACATTGTTATTGGAATTGTTAAGGTATTCGTTATTGGAATTATTAAGGTATTCGATTTTGTAGCCCGATAAAAATATGATTTGTTATGCAAGATCCGAGAATTTCACAAAGTTTAATTATATCTTTGAATATATCCTTGAAAATATATATTCAACACTCTGTAAAAAATTCTAAAGGATTTTACGCGAGAAAGCGTAGCTTGATAATTTAACGAGAGATTCCTAGTCAATTTTATGGGAATATGAATGATAGAAGAAATTTCAATTTTTTTATTTTTTAAATAGACCGTCGCGAAAAAACTACACGGCACTGACGTTGACATGCAGATAGTGAAGACGAAAAACGAGTGCGATCATGTGCAATTCCTCATAACTGACGCGTCAGGACCGGGAGTCGTGACAAACCCTATGATTGCTGAATTGGAAACATTATCCGTCGGTGAGTCGTTGTTTAGAGAAACGATATAAATCATTTGATAAAATTGTGATTGCAATAGATTGATACGCTCAAACGTTGCATATCTAAAACTAATTATAAAAAGAGCATAGTTTTTTTTTTACGATAGAAAAGCAATAAAAAAGGATTTAATAAATTGTCGTAGATCCAAGGGTCAGCCCGAGAACATTTTGTCGAGTTTTTCCATTCCATCTAATGTTTAATCGAGATCTTACAATAATTCAAACCGGATGTACCATAACACGTGTTATACCGCGCGTCTGCAGTGGTCATTGCAAATTAAGCGACATTCTCTTAACTGTGAGTTGACGCGCATAACGCCGCAATATTTTTATTATAATATTGTATATATGTGTATTGTATCTACCTCTTGTTTTACTCATCAATAGTTTATACTCTATATTTTAATGCACTGTCTCTTTGCACTTTGCGTCTTGAAATTATTGCATCTGACAGAAAACGAGCTATATTTTTCTCACTGTTAATTGTTATAGTTCTATTCTGCGAACAATAAAAAATACAATTTTTGTTTAACAATATTGCTTCAGAATTTGGTCGACGCTGCATATTCGTATTCGTATCATGAAGTATCGATCCTTAATTTTCAGTACTACTAATTGTTTCCTGCGTCAAAGGAATCACATTAGTGCAGTGCATTGCGTCTGCCATTATTACATTGCACATGTCTATAAGCACATGAACGTGTATCAAATATGGGTTATTGTGACTGACATAATACGCCTTGTCCGAATTGAGAATTGAATACAATTTGCGTTATTGTTCATACGTATCAATTGCGATATTGTCAATTAGCTCGTCATTGTAATATCTTTTAAAAATTATTAATACATTTTGCGTGCCATTGTCGCGAACATTATGTCACATAATTTTGATTGAAACATTTACATTTATTTTTAATGCGCGTTTCGACATATAAGTCAATTTAATGAATTTTTGAATCTTCGTAGGTCAGACCGCATCTCGAATTAACATTTGAGAATATATTGTCGCATATTAATACTGTATATGTGTTAAGAACGAAAAAGGGAGTTATGCGCGTCGATTCTGCGGAGGAATATTCATATCTTCGTTTAAAGGTCAGTATATCGTGTAAAAATGAATCGAAAATAAAAAGGAATTGATGGAGAATATTTGTCATAATTTGCATCTTGTAAAAATTTAATTCAAATTCCAGGGTCAAATGCTGTACATACCTGAATCCGATTTAGTTATCTTTTTATGTTATCCAAGCGTTATGAATCTTGATGATTTGACTAGGTGAGATTTACATCGACTTTCTATAATTCTATTAATCTTTTTTTTTTTTTAATCGCTTTTCTGCAGTAAATCGAAAAGTATAACGAGACTGTAAACTGTATAACTCATTATCATAAACTTTTGCGCAACTTTGTTGCTGTAAGACTCGTTAAACTTGTTCCTTCTTTTGCGGAAAAGAAAGTTGCGTCTTCTAGTAATAATAATCTTAATGTTTCCGACCGACTTCTTGATCTTTTCTCCATCCGCGTTAAGCATAACTGACTGACTTGAAAGTTTCGTATATTGATATTGCCGAAAGTTTTATACGTAATATATTACTTGATACGGCGAAGGGAGAAGAGATCCGGTGTCGCGCGTGTGACGAACGACTATATCTTCGTGATGTCGTTTTGTATCAAGAGACACTGTATCAAGAGACACCAGGTCTCGTGTGTCAAGCTTATTCTTTCGGCTCCAGGCGAGGCTTGTACTTGAGCGACGTCCCTCTTCACGACGCCACTCGAGATCTAGTCCTGATGTCGGAGCAATTTGAGGCGGATTACAAACTGACGCGCAACTTGGAACTGCTCACCGATAAATTACAGCAGACGTACCGCGAACTTGACGGTGAGAAGCAGAAAACCGACAGGTAAAGATCTCCGCTCGCGGCGTTTCCTGATTATTCAAAAACGTCGACAAGTCTCTCCGTCCGTCGGGTTTGCACGTCGCTTGCCTAACACGATTATCTGCAAAATTTGCAACTCTCCTTCTGCCTCGAATCCCTTTCCGCGACGAAGAATCTTTCCGATGGAAATTAACGGAAATGAATTTATGATGGAATACGATACAGCGGAAAGAAAAGTTTGCTCCCGATTCTTCCGCTTGAGAGCTTGAATAAAGTAGAAATTTTTCCTGAGATTCTTCCTGCATTCGAGACTCTCTCGTAGAAACTACTCGAATTCAATCTTTTGTGTCAACTTGCCAAGAACTGTTCGCGCGAATTTTGATCCGATTAGGGAAAACTAGCGCGCGTGCGACGTTGAATAAAAGATCCTTTGTATTCTGCGCGTAGATTACTCTACTCGGTGCTTCCTATTTCGGTGGCGAACGAGCTCAGACACTCAAGACCAGTACCGGCAAAAAAGTACGATTGCGTTACTTTACTGTTCTCCGGGATAGTCGGTTTCGGAGCTTACTGTGCGGCTCATACAGATTCCAATGGCGCTATGAAGATCGTTAACATGCTCAATGAGCTGTATACGGCTTTTGACGTGTTAACTGATCCGAAAAAGAATCCTAATGTTTATAAGGTAAATATTTATAATTAATTTTATTTTTAATTTTTTTTTAATTTTTATTTTATACAGTAAGGGCAAGTAAGTGTACGACAAAAAAAGAGATTATTATTGTCTTGTATATAAAAAACGTTATAAATATTTTTAATATAATGCTTAAAAAAAAGTATTTATACATTCGACATAATCGCACGTAAATATTATTGCTGTTCTTACGCGGTATCGATAACATTCTCGAATTTGTCTCAGGTTTTTATTGCAGTTAATTCCACTTTTGGTCGATCTAGGTGGAAACCATCGGTGATAAATACATGGCAGTGAGTGGATTGCCGGAACCCTGTCGTTGCCATGCACGATGCATCGCTCGTCTAGCGCTGGACATGATGGATCTCGCGGCTGACGAAGTGCAGATCGATGAGGAACCTGTGGTACGTACATATACAATCTGTTTACCGACTATATTTTGCTACAACGACTACGGATAAGGCCGCGTGAAGCGGATAACGTGACTTGAAAAGAGTCGATGGAATACGTCCATTAAAAACCATACGTTAAACATTGCACAGCATATTGCAGCCGTGTTTGAAGGGTTGCCATACAAGAAATTATCGAGGTAGCTAACCGTTCGTTGACTTTCTGTAGAAAGTTGAAATCTCTTCTGACACATATATGTGTATTTGTGTGTACATAAACATACTTTCGCGAGGGATAAACGGCACGTCTATACTAATTTTATACTTCTACGAAGTGGGCTAACTTTGTTCGCAGAGTCAAATGCGATTTTCATGTTACTTAAATATTTTATCACAGTTACAATACTTGACTAGGCTACTAGAATTTATGATTTAACCCTGAGAGGAAAGTTAGTAATTTATATTTATTTAACTTCAGCTATTTTGCCAAGAAGTGGACTTGGTTTACAAAATATCCTTAACCATTCAAACCTTTCATACACACATTTATATCTCTAAGACTAGCTTATTTTATTTTATTTTCATCCTTACTTTCCTTTCCAAATCTTAATTATTATTTCTTTCTTTATCCAAAGTTTCCGCAATATTCTTCCTTTCGTATTATCTATCTCATTATTCCAAATTCTATCCTCTATTTCCTTACAATTCTTACCTAAGTCTTTAAATCAATCTTTGATCAGTTCACATTTGAGAGGAAAGTTAATATAATTTCGATGGATTTAAATTGTAGTTTTAGACACGTAAAAATAAAAAAGAAAAAAAAGAATTGACGTAAAAGATGTATATTTATATATGTATTTATATTCGATTAAAAATTTAACTTATAATTTTAGATAATATTTTATTTTATTTATTTATTAATGTAATATTTATTAGATAATATATTAACATTAATAATTTTTTCCTGTAAAAATTATTGCATATATTACAGAAACAAAAAAGAAATATATAAATCATATTTTTTATATTTGTTCTTAATATTTGTATGCATATATAATAATATTTTATTATTTTTACAGAAAATTACGATTGGAATACATAGTGGTGAAGTCGTTACTGGTGTAATTGGCCATCGCATGCCTCGTTATTGTTTATTTGGAAATACTGTAAATTTAACTAGTAGAACGGAGACCACTGGCCAACCAGGAAAAATCAATGTTTCGGAAGACGCTTACAGGTAAATTATTTTATACGTGCGCGCATATATATATATATATATATGTACACAGGTGATTCTTTTTTATAGTATTGAATATACATATAGAAATATGTTTTCATTATCAGTCCCTCATTTTTATAATTATGCACCTTTTACCTTACTTTCGCTTCTTTAATTTAAAGAAAGTTGCTAATGGATCGCAACTTCAATTTCCCTAACGTGTACATTTCGCATCGTCTCACGACATACTTTCCGCAATTCTCGAACGTTTCTGGTATTCACATCACAGGCAAACAAGCATCCCTCACAAAACGTTTCTCTAATTCCCAAGATGCATTAAATGCATTGCCATTATGAGACGCTATCATCGTCGACCTTTTAAACTTGACATTTTCTCAAACCTTGGGTCTTAAACCTACTTGAATGGTTTATGCTATACGCCGTTGTACGAGCTCGTTCGCATATATCAAAAATTCCACGTAAAGTCTGACGTTTGGATATAGAATTCATATTTGTCAAAGTCTGCGCTTTATTGCTTTGCTCCGTTCTTTCTATATATGTATATATATATATTTGATCGAACTTCAACCCCAGATTGATGCAGTAGGAATTACGATTCACACTTACACGACACTTTGAAAGACGTCGACGCGCGCATTTATTGGATTCCGGGTGAATGCGCGATCATATTGAGTCGCAGTGAAATTCTAGGACATAACTGCATACGGAGACGTGTGATAAAATATTTCTGAGATTCCATGTTGGGGCGGAAAGGAACGATCGATTCCGAACGCGAGCATCGCGTGACTACGTACGGTATTCTCCGTCAATCCTGCAATAGGTCCAGATAATTTCTCAGAGACCCTGGAATCTGCAGACTTTTAATTCCACGAGGCAACGCCCAATTCGTGTGGAGAATTTCGCGGATTCGGCAACGGCACAAATGCTTGAGTTCTGCCGGACAGACTCCGCTACGTTCCGGAGGTATCAGATTTTGATTCGCCAGATTTGGATACTGCTCGTACAAGGAAACACTGAGAATACCGAAGTGATTGGCAATGTGATCGGGAGTCCTGACGCAGGCGGTCGTCACGGTTCGCAGTAGCAGTTTCAGACATGTCACTAAGTGTTCCGGGTAAACGATCTCCTTCTTACCAGGTTGCACCTCGAATTCGCTGAGCTTCGTCAGAATGATTTCCATTGGTGACGGGGCAAGTTTGTCAGACTCGACCGAGGCGCCGTAGCGCAACATGATCAATAGGATATCCGGCGCGCCGTGCTGAATCGCAACTCTCAGAGGCAAAACCTGTCCGTATGATTCCATAGGCACGTCAATGAAGCGTCTCTTTATCAGCGAGGACTCGCAACGATATTCTAACCGGCCATTAATCGCGTGATTCGAGAAGTACACCAAAGCCCGGATATTGTCTTCGCGATCGTCGAAATCGCACTTCCAACCGGACAGGAAGTGTGTTACACGCGTGCCGAAAATCGCTCCGACGAACAATCGTTCGAATGTCTTTTCACAGTAGAATATGTCGTTCAACAGCCGGCTGACGATCTCGTTGTTGTCGATGTCCCAATCGTAGCAAAGCTTCGCCGCCACATAGAGAACATTGTGAAATTTGCCGAGCAGGCAGACCGACCCGTTCTCCATCATCGTGATATTGTGATAACGCAGAGCCGAGATGACGATCCTCTCGCACACGTCCTGTTTGTCGAGGTTCTCCGCTGAAAGCGTCAAATAGCCATGATTCTCGTCGATCGTATCGCGAATAAAATATTTCTCCGCGTAGAACGCGAGCGAGGGACAGAGATGCAAATTGTTCTGGAATTTGTGGCGTTGCGTTTACGGCGCTTGGTATTTTTCACCGTTACCGCAACGGCATTGGCGAAACAAAGACAAATAGAAGTATAGGATTAGGCAAGTTTAATGTAACGGTAAGGTGGTAATGGGTGACGATATCTTTGCATATTTCAAGTATTCACATCGTGGAGAGACGGATAAGAAATTAGCAGATAAAACTATCGTTAATATATGTTCGCGGTATCATCATCGTCTATAAGTAAATTGAAGAATTTTCTGTCAGATTCGCATGTAATAAAATGACATCATGGTAATAATTATTGATCCATAAATGCGGTCCATTTGTCACTTAAGCGACTCGTGCGTAAATATTCACACGGTACACGACGTTGATATCAGAAATCTAATTACCTTCTGCACAACTGTTTATTACATCTGTGAAATAACTGACCAACTCGCGACGTTTGTATCGCGAAGCTAAACAACTGCGTTCCATTTCTGAAAACAGTCGGTCGAAATAACAATCTATCAACACCTCCATGATTTGCATATAACTTTAGTGACAAATAAAATTCACGCAACGACCGTCACGAGAGTTCACGTTTTAATGATTACGAATGGAGGAAACGACACGGCATGTACGACAGAGTTAATTCGATTAGATGTAAAGTCGCATTTCAAAGGCTTCTTTGACCCTTTCTGGGACAATGTAAATTCATGTAAAAGCGGTTGTAAACTTTTTATATATGTAAGAATCAAGATTTATATATCTTAATATTACATAAAATATTTTGTAAAGAGTAGGGAATAATATCTTTGTCAAATATTAGTTTTTAGAAGAATAATAATCTATTATATTATATATATAATTATGATTACAACAAATTTATATGATTTATTGCAGATATCTCTGCATGCCTGAAAATCAAGATCCTCAATTTCTTTTGGAGTATAGAGGTCCCGTCTCCATGAAGGGAAAATCCGATCCTATGAACGTATGGTTTTTATCTAGGG